GGTAAAGCTTCTTCCGCCACGCAATTAGACCGTTGAGTAACTCCGGACATAGGTTGCACAACGCACCTTTAAAGCTCACTTGCAGTTTCTATGCTATTTATGTATTTATATTTTTACATATATTCTGCTAGTTATAGACACTCTGAGCATACTGCATATGCATGTATATTGATCTCTGCTCAAATATATAAATATGTACATACTCTGCATATATTTGTCTCTGCTGCTAATTATGTATTTATATATTCTTTGCATATATTCTGTATATATTTCTCCCTGCTATTTATATATATAGATATACTTTACATATACTGTATATAATCTTCATATATTTATTTCTGCTGCTTGTTTCACTACATATAAAGTGTTATGTAGTACCAAACTGTTCCAGGGTAAACATATTTACTTTTATATGGCTGAAACGACAATAAAACCCACTTGACTTGACAACTTGTTCTCTCAGACTCTTTTACAGTGACAGAAAGCTGAAGTTAGAGCAGCAGTAAACAGTGACCTCTTTCCAGAGGCCAACACTGTTCAGCACTGTCAGCATGCAGTGATGAGGGGAGAAGCTTCAGATTATAAACCTCCCATCCCTGGTTGTTTCACTGATCTCCACTCACCTGCACAGGTCCGAGGAGAACATGTAGAGAGCTTCATTCTTTTTAATGACCGGATGGAAAGATGCTCCGTTGGTTCCGTTGATCATGTTGCACTCGTCGGTGGTCCACCAGTTCAGAGAGCTGTGGGAATGCACAATTTCACAAATGTCCATTTATCTTTCACATCAATGCATCACAAATGTTGTCATTTACATAGGTTTCAATGTAAAAAGAACTGAAATATTTTAAACCACTTTCATTGGCGGGTACTGTGTTTTCAGAAGTATAAAAATATTCATTAAGGAGCAGATGAAGTACTTAGGTTAGAATGAACTCAGTGAAAGCTGCTGCCTAGTTTATAGGTTTAACACACACAGACAATAACAAATGGATTATCCTTCATTATCCTTATTTTGAAACATATCCTTCATTTTATGGTTAAAAACATTCTTATTTTGGCTGATGTTATTATTTGAGTTTCATTTTTATTAAATATATTTTAATGAGGAGACTGTTCTTTAAACACCCTGTTCGGCCTACAACTAAAACTGGCTTTTAAAGTTTGGCCCCTTGGTTGACTGGGTTTGACACCCCTGCAGTATAAACACCTTGTACAGTGTATATCATATTTCAAAGACAATAGAATAATTCATTTAACAAGACCAGCATTAGAAATAAGATTCAAATGATGGATTTTTTAAAGCTCTGAGATTCTGAGTCTTCTATGTCCTTGTATATTTCATTGGTCAGATAAACCAACGTGTTGGCCACACAACTAACTGATGAGTCCTCACGTTATTTACACAGATACTGAAAAATGAAAGGACAACAGTCCCGGTGAGATAACCTCCTCTGTGTTCCTGCTGTATAATCTTTTCAAAGACGGTTGATAAAGTTTTCCTGAAGTCGTCCTTTTTACCTCAGTGAGTGTTATCAGTGCCACTGTCTGAACACACAGAATCAATGATTCTATTACTTCTAGAAGGGACAGGATGGACATGATCACCTTTCTCCGTTCCATGTGTCCACTCTGGCAAAGTCTTTGTAGTTTTGTTTGCCAGTGAAAAAGACATAATCACCGTCGTTGGAAGCATTGCTCTGTTGGGGGTTTAAATAAACAGTCAGTGTTGGGTCTAAGGTCTCTCATCACATACAGTATTCTGTGGGAAATGAAATGACACCTTATAGAAGAGTCCAAAAACATCATCCAGATCTGGTTTTAAAGTGCGCAGAGCTTTGAGCAGTTCATCTTCATAACCCCACAGCAGCTCTCCAACTGTGCGGGTGGTGAACAGGCCTTCATCACTGGACCTCATGTAGGAGGAGATAAGATTGGCCATAATAATGCTATCCTTGAATTTCTCCATCACGGTCTACGAGGAGGAGGAAGGAAAAGAGAGGTTAAACACCCAAGTGTACAAATGCATTGTGGGTAGAATTATCCCAAAATTAAAAACAGTTCTTTGGTTCACCATGGCAGGGATGTTAACGGTCCTGATGAGATCACTCTCTGGACCCCGGGACATGTTTGGTTCAAAAATGTAGGTTTTGGTGTTGATGGATGCTACTTTAGTGCCATTTTCCAGGAAGTTTATTTCCTCCATGGGTCTGTACTCCCTGTGATGCCAAAACACAAGTAAGTTAGTTATTTATATACAAGTAAGTAAACCACAATTTATGAAACAGGAAAAGGGGATGGAGAAATGCATAGACCCTCGTTATGCAATTCTGGTTTCAAACAAAGCTGTTGTGTCAGCCAGAGCTGAGGTCAACAGTTGAAAGCTACACAGAGACAGGACCGCACTGTTATCAGCAACGATCAGGCGTTATAATACATGTTAACTTCATAAATATCTTTTATCAACATTGGGAAAATGATTCTTGTAAAAATTGGCTGTATTCAGTTATTATGTTGCAATATTACATTCATGTGATGCTGTTTTCTTTTTTAAACTTGTTTATCCTCTCAAGAATTCTAGTTCAGAATTTAGGCCATTGTAATTAGTTGACTGTTGTTGGATCTTGTAGAAAGAAAAATGTAGTGCATGATTGTTATGTCTGTTTCAGTGTCAGTTTGTTCTTATAGTTTTAGTTGGCGCCTTTCATTCGATTTAGCTAAGAGAATAATGAAAAATAATGAGCCGCAAACCTGATTTTAAACCCAGAGGTGTCTCTGTGAAGGCAGCAGTTCTCATTTTCTTTTTTCTGCAATCATGTGGTTTCTATAAACGTGTGTTTAAATACTTGAGCTTTTTTCATATCCTGTTTTCACCTGTATGTATACGGCCCAATCTCCAACACGGCCGGCCTCTCTCCATCTAGCACCTCCAGGGGATTGGTCAGATTAAAAAAGTAAAACTGCATGTAGATGGGTGCTGGCGGATTTTCCCAGGCCTTGAATGCTTCTGAGCCATTCTTCAAAACCACCTCCTATAGGGAACAAAGTTCAGTGGGTTAAATGTTTTGCAGAGTTCAGCAAAGTTGAACGATTAAGGACAGATAACCTGCTGACTGAGAGGTTCCTCTTATCATGTTACAAACACTAAACTGCTTGACATATGACGCTGGGCATCAACAGATGCAGCATTAGTTAACGTAAACTAGAAATGCTTTTCATGATCGAGAGAACGGGAGCACATCACTGAACAAACACCCTTTGTCTGGGAGTTTGTGGAAATTACTGTGGAAACTCAAAGATTATTTCCATTGACTTAACACAAATTTTAAGCACATGTCCAAAATCAGACAAATCATTTTTGTCTTTTTTGGCTATCTAACTTTGGGTTGGTAGTTATTGAGGTCCTTACAGCCATGAACATTACTACTGGTTGCTGTGTTAGAATTAAAGTCACATGTTCCTGGTTTGACCAAGTAAATACAGCAACTTTTAGTACCACGACAGACCTGGTTTGAGTCTCAAATAATCTCTTACATTAAACTAAAATATTGTCATAAAAAGTGAACACTTCCAACAATGGGTTGAGAATTAACAATTTGCATATTTACAAACTGATTTGCTTGAGTACTGTATTCGGACTGTATTATGGAGTCAAGTATCCCTTACAAGATGAAGGTGACATCCGTCATGGAGTTAAATAGTCAGCAACTTAGAACTACTATAGGAACAAAGTTTAAATTAAACTGACCTCGAATAAATTTCATATAAAATGAGCCAAATACGGAAACAATAGAGTTGAAAAAGTTCTCCCATACAAAAAAAAAGTCTGAGGGTAGAAAAACAGATTAAAGTGCCATCATATTTAACAAATAACTATATGAATACAGTACATTCTTGGACCAACGTAACAAAGACATACATTACGTCTATCAGGCAATGACCCGAAGCTAAACACGGCCAAATAGGCCGATAACAGATTAAGCAAACCATATGCGTCTAAGACTATAGTTTACTGGGTTTCTTGTCTAGACAATATCAACAACATTAACCCCAGAAAAGCTCTTACCGTCTTTACCACGGACTGCACCAACTGTGGAAACACGTTAGACAGGACTAAAGCAATGCCCGCGATTAAAAGCAGCATAGAGACAACCCCAATGCTGTAAATACAACATGATTTCAGCGGCATGGTGACAAAGCAAACGCAACACAGTAACTAAGAGTTACCCGACGGACACCGCCTCTGCTGGAAGCCTATCTGACATTAGCCACAGTGACAGTGGTGTGTGTGCGCTTGTTTTGTTTTGATGGCCCAGGAACCTGCTAGATGGTGCAAAGACACACTTCCGGAATAAAATATTTCCCTCCCACCATCTTCCGCTCTCGTAAACATTAACGCTGTTTTCTAAAAGAGAAATTAAGTTGGACTCGTAATGACTGTAGTGACATGTTTAAATATCCCTTGCAAGTTCTGCATTTTTTAAATGTACAACATATTAGCTCAGTTTGACTGAATATAGCTAGTAGCACAATTAGTTCGATATTTCGGCAAAGACATAAGGGAAGTTCATCTCTTGCAGCATAAATACTCTTTGTTGTACAGCGCATGACAGTAGCGTCATTAATTACTTGACTGAGTCAGGACTTTTTTTTTTAACTTTACAAAAATGGGACCCTTTTAACTAAAAACTATCCCGAACGAAGCCCGCCCACAATCCGGTTGCTAAATATATAAAAATGTTTTTTTAATTATGGTGAAATAAATGTCTATATCTCTATTAACCATTGGGTTACTGCAGACGTTAGAGTAAGTTCTACAATATTATCTGGCTTGTTAATGTGTTTAAACACACAATGTAATTTGATGAGATTATTTTGCGCAACGTCTTGAGGACAAACATAACATTTTATCTAATACATTAATTTATTTTGCTCTTGTGCTCTCTGCAGAAAAGAGTTTTTTCCATTTTTAATTTATTAATATATTCGTAATTAAAAACATTACAGTGTCATTTGTACCACAGCAATTCTAAACGTTAATTTAAAAGACAAATGTACAATTGTAATTCCCATTACAATTAAAGAGTGGCGAAAGATAAAATATTTTCCACTAGAGGTCAGTGTCTCAGCACGTGAGAGATAGCATGGCAGTGCCTCAAAAAGCCACACACAGGAATCCTATGAAATGAGCCCGCATTTTCTTAGATCATCATTGTTCATGTGTTGGTGTCTTTTAACTGTTGTTTTTTACTTTTCCTAATCGTTACTAAAAACAAACAAACAAACTTATTATCTGACATATCTTATATCCTATGTGTGAATATCAGAGAGAAACTATTGAGAAAAGTTAGGTGATTCCAATAAAGTTTTTTTTTACTCTTAGTTGGTATAGTGGTTTGAGCAGTGGTGGCTTGGTGGTTAAGGAAGCAGACTTGGGTCTGGAAGGTTTCAGGTTCGAGTCCAACAGCTCAAGTTACCACTGATCCGCACTGAGCATGGCACTGTCCCCACACACTGCTCTCTGGGTGCTTGAGCTGCCCCCTGCTCACACTGGTGAAAGGTCAAAGGCGGAGGTCACTTTTTGTTGTCCTCTGTCACTATGACAAATAATTCACTTTTTGACAGGGAGAACCAAATTGTTTGAATCAAAATGTATTGCCCCTAACACAACAAGAAGGTCTAAGATTTCATTGTTTCAGTTTACAAATAGCACAAACATTACACCCTCATAGCTGAGACGCGTTTGAACCTGTATTAATAGGATCGTCGGATTGCTGTTGTAACACATGCCCATAAAAGATATGACATAATGCCATGTCTAAATAACAGAGTTGCTCATTCTTACAAATTATGGCTATTATAAAATCTTGGTCTTAAACATGGAGCCCAGTGATCACATTACAGGGTTACAAGGATACAGAATGTGTCTACATAAAGAAACAGTGACTTCAGAAACAAGAACAAAAATAAGTAAAGACACAAAATTGGAGATGCAATAGAGCTACTGGGATATCTTTATCTCTAAAATCTCTATAATATCTTAAAAGAAGACAAAGAGAAATTATGCATGCATTTCAAACAATATCTACAGCAGATGCAAAACAACAAGTAAAAAAGACATGTCAGAAAAGAAAAAAAACAACAAAATATTGCAGTAATCTCTGTTGGTATTCAATAAACTGTGTTTCTCTGTATAGCTCTATAACAAATGATACACCAAAGAAGATATATTTCAAAAGTTACTGCCACCATAGTGGCTTCATTTATGCTCAAATTTATTTGATACAAGAAATGATTATAGTACTAGTCAGTCAACTCTGAGGCTCAGCTATGCTAAACTAATCTTGCGAAAAAGTGTGCAGAAAAGTGGACCTTTTCTGGTGTTTTAATAGCAGCTCTGCATCAATTGGGTTGCATTACCGCCCCCCACTGGCTCTTTTGTTTTTACCGATTTGTATGTCTACCTAGAAATAATCCTTGCCAAAGAAAGTAAAAGAGGAAGAAAAGAAGAATCATGCGCTCAAACGAACACAGAACTATTCCATGACTGCTTCCTGTGGCACACAGAAATGACAGATTTTTATTTTATTTTTTTAAATCAAATGTTCTAGTTTACTTCTTTAGGAAGTTGATGAATACTATACGTTAATGTGTTTCTTGGAGGAAAGATACTGAACAAAAATACAACAAATGCAAAAAGTGAGACTGAGCAACTACAAAAACTGTAAAGGTTGTAGTAACTAATGTGTACCAAGGCCTGGAGTCACCAAGTGTGTCCCAGCCGGTTCTAATTCATGTTGCCCCACAAACTACTGCCAGTGTGGTTTTGTGGGAATTGCCCCCTTAACCAGAACATGAATGGGACACAATGGAGGACACCAGAGGGCTCGGTCAACGCGGTCACGAGAGCTGTGGGAGAGAGTGACGTCACTTTCCTAGACCGGGCAGCGGCCGTTTGTGAGTTTAGAGCAGAGTGGGAGAGAGAGGGAGAGAGGGGGGAGGACAACAGTAGCAGCTCAACTTTTAATGTATGCGTGCCGAGCCGAGTAGAGCCAGTGTGGAGCTGCTTCTCCTCCTCCCTGCATCCTCCAGCGGGACTCCAGTTCCACTCGCTGTTTCCGCACCGGCTCTGCTCGTTTCCCCCCGGTGTCTGGTTCATAAAAAGCCGAGGTGAGCGGGTCGGTTTTCTCCTTCTGCGACTTCAGCCTATAACCCGGGTAAGAGTGTCCATTTAATGCGTATCATTTTTATTATTATTGTTGTTGTTATTATTCTATTGTTTTACGAAAACATTGTAATGAACGGTTTGTAACAAGTTAACTCCGCGGAGCAGCAGCAGAAAAATCAATCACATTTTCAAATGTTCGCTCTTTAACGGTCACAGTATCGATGCACGCCGCGCGTGTTTGGACTGTTTTTGTGCTTTAAAAGAGCTGCAGCTACTCTCCGCGTTATCTCCCTTTTATGCGCTACAGCCATTACTTTATGTGGAGCTTTATGCAGAGCATGCACAGGTAACTAAAGTTTTCCCAGCTGCGGTCTGATGAGTTTGCTGCCACAGTTCAGCCAGAACGTGTTCGTCAGCAGCGTTTGTTTTTGGTTGTGCACTCACTGACATGTTGCTATGTTTTCGAGACATTAACATAAAGCACGAATCCTCTACCACACGTGTCTAAAGTCTGGGTTCGGGGGCGGAACGTGGCACCTGGCTGTGTATTATATAGTCTGAAAAAACATTTCCCAGAACTCTTTACAAGTGCAATTTGTTTAACTAAAAGTATTTTCTGTGGCTAACTTTTTGCAATTTCTTTGCCATCTTTTAGTTATCCTTTGTCTTTTTACATTTAATTTTCAATTTATGAAAACCCTAGCTGCTGTTTTTAAGACATATTTCTTATGTGTTTGTTTACTTTCTGTCTGGCTAACCTTGACAATTTCTTATAGCCAATATAATTTTGTTTCTTTTTTTCCTTTCAATTTATTAAAGTCAGGTCTTGTTTTTTGCAGAAATAACAATAATAAAAATAATAATACATTTGTAGAGTTATCATTGACCAGCAGAGAATCATGAAAGTATTCACTTCTGAGAATCATTATTTCACCACCAGTACAAAAATGATTCCTTCAGGACAAAACTACCCGCTCTCATCTGGAAGAGTCTTAAGTTTCTCGCATGGTGCTTTCTGTTGAAATCTAAGCAGACACGGTGAACCCTGGACATAACAATAATGAAGAAAGTAGGCTAGTTGTGCGTGAAAAAATTCACCAGGGGCCAAATAATTGACAAAGTAATTTCAAGAATGAAAAACTAGAAATTTCCTCAGGCAGTAACTGTGCAAATGTACTGTAAAACCAGACGCCCCCTAGAGCTTTGTGGTGATTTGAAACATCGCTGTAGGAAACGGTCCAAAACCAGATAACATTCCCAGAAACAGGTTTAAATTAGAAATGCATGTGTTTATGTCCTGACTGCCTTTCACTACCTCTCGCCGTAATGTATCTTTCTATGTGTTACTGCTACGGGAATAAGTGTTGGCCTCAAACCCATTATAAAATGCTCATTACTCATTCATCAATGAAACTTTAATCATAAAACAACAAAAACCCTACTCTGACGATAAGTCAAATTATGTCGCAAAAAATATTAAGATTTAAAAAGTATTTCTCAGGAAACATTGTTGGGTATGAACATCTGTATTGTATTTTTCTCCACAGTCTCCAGTGGTTTAAGTGGGTAAATGCATGGACCACGCTTAACATGAAGAGCCTCAAAGCCAAGTTTAGGAAAACTGATGTAAGTACTGTAACATGTGTTCTTGGCTGCGTCCTGTGTGAGCACATGCATGTTGTGTACTCATGTGCTTGAGTATGTCTGCCTGGCTGCGTCAGAGTCTGTGTCTGTGTACGTTTGGCTGCAGTGTTTGCTGATGATTTATGAGAGAGTTCCTTAAGCATTGGGACAGGAGCAGCAGGAGCAGAACCCAGAGCCGTGTTCATATTTGTTTAAGACAAAATAAATAGTTGTGACAAATCAAACGAATGGGTTTAAAACACTAACATATATTTTCATGATGTTATCTAGACCTTGGTAAATGTTTAAAGTTAAAATGATGACTTGTCATCGCTAACTGCCCGAAGGTCATGAGAATTTTCAGATTTTGCAAAGTTGGGGTCAGGTGGTTCAGAAACTGTGATTTGTCATTTGAACAGTGTCACACTGACTTATTATTACAAATGCCACAATTTTTTTACCCCTAAATATAAAAGTAAGCACCCCACTTCTAAGCTCATGCATTTTATTGACAAATCAGTGAATTTAGTTTTGGATTATTTAAATGAGTTATCAACTACCTTTTTTCGTCATTTGTTTCAAGAGAAAAATGCAAACAAATTTAGGAGGAATCTAGCATTTTTTAAAACACAATGCTGTTGGCCGAGGCACTGAAGAAGAAAACAAACTCAGTGATCCATTATATCTATTTTATTCTCTTTACTTTTATACAGTGAAACCCCGGTTGTCGAACGCCTCCCTTTTCGAACAATTTGGTTCACAAACAAAATCTTTAACCAAAAATTGCCCCGGTTAAACCAGGTTTGCAATGTATTTGCAAATGCAGCCTGGCTCAAATAAACTAAACCACAAGGCTTTTCCCTTGCACATAATATTACTACAAATACAAAGCAATATTCAGCAACTGCTTCTTTATAAGGCAACATTGATAGTTGAGTCAGTCACTGTGATAGAGTTCAGAGAAACTTCAGCACAGCCTTCAATGTCCCTTTTCTTTCTCTCAATAATATTTACCTGCAGCACCTTCTTGTACCTGTGTCCTTTCAAAGCCACCCCAGTGTATACTGAATACATTTGGAGGTGAAACATGTTGTCCAGAATGATGCCCTGTTGCTTTTATAAAAAACTGTGCTTCCTCCTGAAACCACAGGACCATACTATTTTACTTTGAACCATAGCTCTTGTGTTGGATCTGCTGCCCTGAGAAGACATATCTGTACTGACTTATCTGTACGTCTTGTAATATTGTAATATTTTATTTTGGGGACTTTTTCTTCCTTAACTGAATGCAACTTTAAAAATATGATGAAATAGTGAAAAGAATCCTGATGAATATTGACTAATGAAGTTGCAGTTGAATTGCCTCTATACACTGTCCCAGAGAAAAACTAGATCCTCCTGACTGTGACTAATTCCTTTGGGAAGATTTCTTCAGTCAGTCATTGGTCACAGCTACCATGCACTATACTCACAGGAAGTGAGGTGTCTCTTCAGCATTTGACTCATCCGTCGTCACTATGGCCATCGTGACACAGAGTCAAAGGCAGACAGGAAAAGTCTGGAGGCTAACGGAATGAACAGGATTAGTTTCAGGGTAGCCAGTGAGTTTCTCAAGAAAGGAAGTTTGAAACAATGATAGATGAATGCTGAATTAATGAGACTCCTCGGTGATGTGGACAGTTTCCATTAGATTAAGAGTGTGTGTGGTGGAGCAGTATGGTGAGTGCTGAGTAAATGGCATGCACAGTTAAGAGGGAATGTCCCACAAAGGAGTACTTGGTTGGAAATACATATCTGCTTTTACTCACTTGTAGCCGCAGCATACTTTACTGCATAAATGGAGCGTGGATTACTGTGGGGGACAATACTTGCTGCTGGAAACTAGAACTGAGACCGTGAGATACACAGTATACCTAAAGTCCAAATGTACAGTCTGTAATCGTCTTTTTACTAATAAAAGTAGAGGGGAAAAGCCTTGGTATTTGTGCATGTGATTATGTCCTGATATTAGAAAATGATTGCATATTTAGTCAGCTATGTAAGGCTGTACAATAGTGCCCATTGTTCTTGAAAATGTTGAGTACCAAATTGTGCTGCGCAGGTCTTCATCGTTCTTTCTCACTGGACAAAAAAAAATGAGCAGAGTCTGTCTCACCTGGTTATGAGGTGCTCATGGGGTCAAGTCTTAACCTGGTGTTGCTGTTGTTAAGCCGTTAAATATGTGTGCTGTCATAGTAAGGCCCTTGTCCTCCCTAAAATAACCAGTTGTGGGCGGGTTTCGAGAAGAAAGAGAAGGCCAGTGGATGTGAATGTTGCTTGGAAACAGGACAGAAGCCATTCACAGTGATGTGGGCCTTTGCAGGCTTCACACCCACACCATTGAGCAGTTGGATTTTCTCATATGTATCATTACTTCTTGGTTGTAATAAATCTCCAATTTTTATATGTGTATTCTCTGCGTTTCTACTTAGACGCTGCAATGTTGTGGCGAACGTTAATCTTAAAGTCCATGAAAAAACCCTGGCTGTCCTCCAAGTCTATATTAAACTGAGTGTATGTATGGTAAGTCATGCTTGGAGCATTGAATGAGAACTCCAACCACTGGTGTATTTCTCTCCTGCTGGACTCTGGATAAACATGTTGTGCTTTTATTACCAAGGAATTATTGTCCTCCATCCAGTAGATTATTTAACGTTGCCTTTATTTTGCATGCAGAGCATGCATGAGGGAACCAGGGCCAAGGTATTGTGGATTTAAATAATGGTCATGATTTAAAAAGAAACAAAAACAATCCCATCACTCCAGGAAGTTTGTCGTCTGAGCCAAAACTCATTCCATTACTTTTTATAGAAACCCTGAACCACCTCAATAGAGAGAAAATATCTTGTTGGTTCTATTTTGGGCTGCGTATGTCAGTGACTGATTACCAAGGAATGTTTCCCCCAAAACCAGCCCTGCATTTTTAAAAAAATAAAATAACAGAAACCTAATGCCCTTGTAAATAGTTTTTTGTCTTCTTTTTTATGAAGTCAAGACATTTCTAGATGTGTAATGGAGAACATATGTTGGAAGTGTCCAACCTGTACAGAACACCTTCCTCTCAGAATTGGTCTGCAGCTCAGGACCTAAATGACCTTACTCCTAAACCTAGAGTTGACTGATAAGACCAGAGAGTTAACTCATGAGGGTTAGGGTTCCCACATTCATGCCTGTTTTAATATCTCATATATGCATGGTCAAAAACAGCAGTCGTCAACCTTTTTTAATTGTTAAGGGATTGTTAAGGATAAGTACATCTAAAAATAAAACCTAAATAAAACACATTTTAGAATTTATATAATTCTTTCACTGTGGACTGATACCAAATGACCAAGGGACCGGTACCAGTCCATAAACCAGGGGTTGGTGACGCCTGCTCTAAAATGTTTTTCTTTAACAGCATATATTCTTTTCTGGATTAAAACTGGAGCCAATCCCAAAGACATCAAACATGACTGTATATTTAAAAAAATATTTCAGTAGTCATCAAGGTAGTGTAGGGTAGAGTGGAACAAACGTCCAACGGAATACAATTGTGACAGGACTAGGAATGTCACGATTATAGATTTCCTTCGTACGATTATTGTCAGAGAATTTAGGATACTGTTAGGATAATTTTAGGATTATCACAATTATTATCATTAATTTCACAACACTATGAATGTGTAAAATCACACAAACACCCTTTGTAGGTCATAGAGTTTCTTCTTCATCTTTTGATGCCAGAATAAGAAAAATATATAGCAATAAAGTATGGAATATGACAATAAAAAATCACCACTGCTCTTTAAGGATAAAACCAAATTGCTACATATGTACTGTGTATTTTCCTTAGCGAAAACAGATGTGAAGGGCTACAGGACCTCTACTTTTCTGTCATGTATTGTCTTTTAAACCCAAAATGAACTATAGTGATACTGTCCTGTGCTATACTGCGTTTAGAAATATATTGCTATTTATTACAATATTGTGATAACGCCCAACCCCAGTTGGGTGGAAACATATTGGATCCGCACCACAATTGTTTTATGGCATGCTGGTAAGCCGTCATCCACAACGTCACCCAGTCGTTTTCTCTGTAGCCAAAATAATCCCTTGTGGCTAATTTAATACGCTTGGTTGAGGGAAATAACTCTTCTTTTGCCATTTTCCCCAACTTGTAACTTTTTGTAGGACCTTTAGAGTTGTGCTTAACTATAGTTCTGGCATATTATTTTCTGACGCTAATCAGCAAACGTTTAGAGCTTATCCTTATGATAAGATTAAACACACATCATTTTCCACTCTTTATAAGATTAAACACACATCATTTTCCACTGTGACATCCTTCTGACCTTTAGCATAATTTGGCATTTTGTTCTAACTCTTGATGCAGACAGAGCAACTGTCTCAGGGTCAGAACACAGACAGCAGATTGCCCATTGATAACATGCTTCAGGACAGGGGTCACCAACTGTTTTGTCGGAGGGCCAGAATTTTCAGGACAGAGAACTTGGGGGTGGGACACCTAAATAAAAATCAAATTATTATGATTATTATTTGAAGTTTATTTTAGTATCCAAAAGGAATGTTTGGTGGGCTGGATTTGGCCCACGGGCCGCCAATTGGTGATCAGTGCTTTAGAGCAGGCATGGCCAACCTGTGGCTCGGGAGCCACATGCAGCTCTCTGCCCAGTTTAATGCGGCTCTCATGTCGAATTTCATGTTTGTGTTTTTTTACGCTATGTGAACCTCATCGTGATGGTCGTTGATGCAAATTACTTAGGGAAAACCCAAAAAAGTTTTAAAAGAGTTTTTTTTTTTTTTTAATGATGGGGCAGTTCAGGTGTGCCCATGTATATCATGTGGCTTTTTGCAGTAACACAGTAAAATTGTGGCTCTTAGCCTCTTGACTGGTTGGCCACCCCTGCTTTAGAGTCTTGTCCTGTTGTGGTTTGGTCTGCTGAAGTGCCTGGAATGTTAGT